TGCCCCCCCTCCTCTTCATTTTCCTCTTCTCCCTTCCTCATCTCCGATCTTCATTTCTCTCTTCTCGACTCTTTTCCTCCGTCCAAGGCCTCCCTTTCCTCTTTCCTCGTCCAGTCCCGTTGCCGTATAATATAAGTATCTCCACCTTGTCGCACCACCAGACGTGTTGGTAGCGCTGGCCCGGCGTATTGCCTGCGACGCCCTCACAATCTAGGTCCATGGAGTTTGATTTTCCCATTGTGTGTGCAATACGTGACTTTCGCTAAAACGTTGCGCACATGTTTCGTATACGTTTCTAACAGTTGTGCTGATGGAGGGCGGGCCGATTTCAACATGTCCAATGGTTTCACGGATTGAGCCAAGGCCGTATCTGAAGTGTGGGTATCGCCCCTTTGCCGCGCACATCCGTCTTAAACAATATTAGGGTAGTGTGGATGGGGGACGGGCGGTTTTCAATCTGTAGTTCCTGCGTGTGGCTTTCCAGCACAGTCGGGGATGGAGGACGGGCTGTTTTCACCTTTCTTAGTCCTTCGCGCATTCCCACCAGCCCATCTGGAAACGAACCCCGCTGCCGGGCTTCGAAACAAAAGAGGGAGCATCCGTCGAAGCGTTGTTGGGGGTGCGCCCGAGTACCCTCAATAATGGTCAAGCTTGAGCTCTGGGAGCCTCCTGATGTAATTGTGTGCGTCTGGGGACTGGAGGGCTGCACTCTCTGCCGCAGGCGCCCCCTTCCCCCCAGGCCGAGCTATCCTGTGGCTATACCTTGGACCTTGTGGGGCCATCTGCAGGCCCGTTGCATGGTCTTCGCGTATGGTCTCCCGCATGGGTCCCCGTGTGGTGCCCCGTTCGTTCTGTCGCATGGCCTCCCGCATGCGTGCCCGTATGGTTTCCCGTCTGGTCTCCCGCGCGGTCTTCGATATTTTGCATTGGTTCCCGTACTGTTTCCAGTCTGGTTTCGAGTCTGGTTTCCCGTGTGGTCTCCCGCATGGTCCTTTGTCGAGTTTCTGGTATGGTCTCCATTGCGATTACCCGTATGTCTTCCCCTCTAGGTTTTTGTATGGCTTCCCCTAGGGTTTACCGTATAGTCTCCCGTGTGATCTCTCGTAGGCTTTTTCCCAACCATTCTGTGGTGTTGGGTCCTCGTTTTGAAGAGACGGTCCCCGCGTTCCTCCTCCTTCTCCTCCTCCTCCTCCTTCTCCTCGCCCTCCTCCCTCCTGCGTTCGCATGCCTCCCCACCACCCATTTCGGCACACCCCTCACACGTTTCGTGGCCCCATAGGGAGCTCCACCGAAGGCCCCAGTGGCTGCGTTCGCATGCCTCCCCACCACCCATTTCGGCACACCCCTCACACGTTTCGTGGCCCCATAGGGAGCTCCACCGAAGGCCCCAGTGGCTGCGTTCGCATGCCTCCCCACCACCCATTTCGGCACACCCCTCACACGTTTCGTGGCCCCATAGGGAGCTCCACCGAAGGCCCCAGTGGCTGCGTTCGCATGCCTCCCCACCACCCATTTCGGCACACCCCTCACACGTTTCGTGGCCCCATAGGGAGCTCCACCGAAGGCCCCAGTGGCTGCGTTCGCATGCCTCCCCACCACCCATTTCGGCACACCCCTCACACGTTTCGTGGCCCCATAGGGAGCTCCACCGAAGGCCCCAGTGGCTGCGTTCGCATGCCTCCCCACCACCTTTCGGCACACCCCTCACACGTTTCGTGGCCCCATAGGGAGCTCCACCGAAGGCCCCAGTGGCTGCGTTCGCATGCCTCCCCACCACCCATTGCGGTGGCCCCATCTCACCCAGAACACTTTCGGCACACCCCTCACACGTTTCGTGGCCCCATAGGGAGCTCCACCGAAGGCCCCAGTGGCTGCGTTCGCATGCCTCCCCACCACCCATTTCGGCACACCCCTCACACGTTTCGTGGCCCCATAGGGAGCTCCACCGAAGGCCCCAGTGGCAGGGTTCGCATGCCTCCCCACCACCCATTTCGGCACACCCCTCACACGTTTCGTGGCCCCATAGGGAGCTCCACCGAAGGCCCCAGTGGCTGCGTTCGCATGCCTCCCCACCCCCATTTCGGCACACCCCTCACACGTTTCGTGGCCCCATAGGGAGCTCCACCGAAGGCCCCAGTGGCTGCGTTCGCATGCCTCCCCACCACCCATTTCGGCACACCCCTCACACGTTTCGTGGCCCCATAGGGAGCTCCACCGAAGGCCCCAGTGGCTGCGTTCGCATGCCTCCCCACCACCAATTTCGGCACACCCCTCACACGTTTCGTGGCCCCATAGGGAGCTCCACCGAAGGCCCCAGTGGCTGCGTTCGCATGCCTCCCCACCACCCATTTCGGCACACCCCTCACACGTTTCGTGGCCCCATAGGGAGCTCCACCGAAGGCCCCAGTGGCTGCGTTCGCATGCCTCCCCACCACCCATTTCGGCACACCCCTCACACGTTTCGTGGCCCCATAGGGAGCTCCACCGAAGGCCCCAGTGGCGCGGTGCCTATGAGAAGAGGGGCCTAGTTTGCGTGCCCCCTCCTTCGTCTCATATCCGTGCGGTACTCGCAGCTGCATATGGTTGGGTCCTTCGCCAGGCTAATTTGTATGGTCTTCCATATTGTTTCCCGTACGGTCTCCCGTATGCGGTCTCAATGTTGCATAATTACACTCTGCGTGTTATGGTTTTCCGCAGCTAGTGTGTGGTGGGTTTAGTCAACTCTTGATCATCCTTCGCACCCTGTTTCTCCTCCTCCCCCTTGCTGTCATCCCTATTCCTCCTCCTACTGCTCCTCTCTCACCCTTCTGCTTCTCGTTCTCCCTCATCATTTCAGTCCTAGTGTTCCTTCCACCTGCTCCTGCTTCCTCCTGAGTCCTCGTCCCCTCCCCTGCTTCTCATCCTTCCCCCTTCTGCCCCTGTCTTATTCCTGGTGTTCCTCCTCCCTCTTCTTCCTCCTCCTCCTTGTCCTCCACCTTCTCTCTCCCCCCCTCGTCTTCCAACTTCCTCTCGTCCTCTTCTCTCCTCCCCCTCCCTCCCCCTGCCCTTTCTCTTCCTGCTTTCCTCCTACTTCTCAAGCCTCCCCATCCTCATCCTGCTCTCTCTCCTCTCCCTTCTCATCCAACTCCTCCTCCTACCCTCTGTGAACACGTATGCCTGTGTGTATACGTATATGTTTGCATGGTACTATATGCTATGTTATGATACGCCGTGTTATGCTATGTCAGGGTACATGTGCCATGCCATGTTATGGTATGTGTGTGTTTATGCTTTTTGTGTGTTATGCTATGGTTTGTCATGCAGTTTAACGTAAGTCAATGTCATGTGCTGTATTGTAGTGCGGTGTAGTGTAATGCAACTGAATTAAAAGTGATGTATTGCAAGACAATGCAATGCAGTGACGTGCAATGCAATTCAATGCGGCACAATGCCATGCATTGGGCTGTACCGTACTGTAGCGTAATGTAATGTGATGCAATGCACTATACTGTAATGCAAAATGTTGTAAGGTAATGTAATGTATTGTGGTATATTGGAATGCAATGTAATGTAATGCATTGTGATGCCGTATATGTATGTCTGTATGCATGCACGCACGCACTCATGCATGTATACATGCATGCATACTGTATGTGTGTATGTGTCTGTGATTATATATATATATAGATATATATATATATATATATATATATCTATATATATATATATAAAAAATATGTATGTATGTATCAGATACCGCTGCTGGAGGAAAACGGGGGGGGGGGGTCACTACCGGTTCGAACCCCTCCCCCCCCCCCCCCTCCGGAAAACCGGGGGGGGGTCACTACCGGTTCGAACCCCTCCCCCCCCCCCAGTTCATCATGAAAAGGGGGGGGGGTCACTACCGGTTCGAACCCCCCCCCCCCTCGAAAACCGAGTGGGGGTGCGGACAGTGGTGGGGACGGTGGTGGTGGGGACAGTGGTGAGGGGACAGCGGGACAGTGGTGGGGACAGTGGGACAGTGGTGGGGACGGTAGTGGTGGGGACAGTGGTGAGGATAATGGTGGGAACAGTGGGGACAGTGGACAGTGGTGGGGACGGTGGTGGTGGGGACAGTGGTGTGGGGACAGTGGGAATGAGGTGGAAACAGTGGGACAGTGGAGGGTACAATGGTGGTGGGGACAGTGGTGAAGGCGGTGGCGAGGACGGCGGTGGGACAATGGGACAGAGGTACAGTGGGGACAGTGGTGGGGACAGTGGGGACAGTGGTGGGAACAGTGGGACAGCTCAGTGGGACAGCGGAGGAGTCAGTGGGACAGTGGGGACAGTGGGGATAGTCGGGCAGTGGTTGGGGCCGTGGAGAAAGTGGGGAGAGTGGAACCGTGGTGGGAACAGTGGTGGGGACAGTGGGGACAGTGCGACAGTGGTGGGGGCACTGGTGGGGACAGTAGGGACGGTGGTGGAACCAGTGGGGACAGTGGTGGTGAGGACAGTGGTGCTGGGAACAACAGTGGGGGATGTGATGCGGACGGTGGTAGGGACCGGGAGTCGTTTGCTGGCGGTGAGTGGGGGGGGGGGAGGGGTTCGAACCGGTAGTGACCCCCCCTCCGGTTTTCGGGGGGGGGGGTTCGAACCGGTAGTGACCCCCCCCGGTTTCGAGGGGGGGGGGAGGGGTTAGGGGAGGGGGGGGTTTTGCCGGGGAGGGGAGGGGTGGGGGGGGTGGGGTCCAGCAGGGGGGGACGATTTTTTCGGAGGGGGGAGGGGGGGGGACCCCCGGGTTCCAGAGGAAAAGGGGGTCAATCTTCCACAGCAAAGCGGCGGTGGATCACGCTCTCTCATATATCAGTATCGCTCTCACCCTATCATGCTGCTTCTCTTTCCCTCTTTATGCTTGCTGTTTGGTTGTTGCTCTCTCTCTCTCTCTATCCCTCTTACGTTCTTTCTCTCTCTCTCTCTCGGCCCCTCTCTTCTCCCCACTCTACCAAGCAGCCCTTCCCCACCGCCCCTCCCCACTGCCCAAGGAGGGCGAGCAGCCTGCGTATCCTGGGCACTATGCAGCCGAGGCCCCGATGGTACTAAACAACTCTTACGCGCGCGGCGGCTTTGAACCGGAAGGCGGCGATTTCGTGTCAGTTCCACTGCAGTCGCAGAGTGGTGCCTTTGGCCATGCCACCTCCTTCTTCTCCTCATCCTTCTCTTTTCCTTCCCCATACTTCTTTGTCGACATCCCTTGTTCTTTTTCCAACTTGGGAGTGGCAGTGTCCAGAGGACTCAGGAGTCTGTGCGGTCCTTCCGTGGGGAGTTACCTTCGATGGCGATGCATTGTAGCCATGTGCGCATGGCGGACAGCAAGTGGGGAGGGACGCCACATGGGGGCCAATTCAGCAGGGTCCAAGCCTGATGCGTCCAGAGGTGCACAAGAGGCCATCGAAAGCCTCAGCCACTGAGGCAATAAGGCGTGGTGACCCCACAGCCGACGCAGCCACCGAAGCATTGGCGACAACCAGAGCCAGTGGGGCAGGAAGCTATGGGCTTCCTTCTATAAGGCGAAGCCAAGCCGTAGGGGTCCCAGCAGTCACCAGCGATCACCCGTGCCAGTTGCGCACGCCTCAAGCAATGTTTCTTTGGGAACTGGTGAATGCACCAGTTTCTAGACGTCTCTCCTTCGTCGCTGGCTTCTCCCCATCATAACTCACCGTCCCCTTCCTTCTCCTCTCCTCCCCCCCTCCTTGCTTCATCGTCCTCCATATCCAGAACTATATGTTTGATTGGTCGGGATTCCAATGTGCAGGTCGCAAGCTGGATAACACACGATCGCGACAGTTCGATTGGACCTCACAGATTCTGTGCCGAGTTTTGGCGTGGGCAGTGGCTGACACATTGGTTTTGGGCAGTCCGATTTCGGCACAGCGAACACCCTTTCTTCAAGCCTCCGCTCAAGAGGATTACACATTATTCGAGCAACGGGTATCCGTGTCAGATCGATATTTTGTTTATTGGTGAGAGCATACTCCTGTAACCGACCATCTAGCTCCGCCAGCGTTCCAGAATTTTGGGGCAGACCACAACGCAGAACCATTTCATTGATGTTATGTTTGAGGGCAGCGCACAAACAGAGGCACCTTAGTCATATGATATTGCTGCTACCTTTGAGATGAACACGCGCACAGAGGCAAATTCGTCAGAGACACCACCGAGCAGGTTTATGCGACACGGATGGATTTGTTCGGCATGCCAGTGAATAGTTGGACATGGTGGTTGGGGTAATGCGATGTGCCACCATTGACAACCACAATGCTCGTATTGAATCTGCATTGGTTGATACACGCCAAGGGGACGTGCGCAGGAACATCGACGACGAGACCTATCCAGATGCAGGGCTAGCGATGAAATCGCCGTGCTACCACGACTGATCGAAGAGCGACGATAGACACCACGCCGCAGTGACGGCAGAGGGCGTAGCTCACCGTGCAGAGTCGCACCGGCGTGAAGGTCATCACAATGAACACGCGCAGACAGCTCATCTGACTCATCTGACATCTGATACACGCGTCCTTCCTCCTCCTGCCCCTCTCCTCCGAATCGGTAGCTGGAGTTTCGGCCACGTTCGCCGGACAGCTTTTGGCTGACATTGCTCTGGCATTTGACGACGAGACAGGTGGTGAACCGTTCATTGGTTGTTCGCGTCCCTAATAATAAAAAAACATGTCCTGCATGTTCGCAGGGCTGAAGCATAGGCTTTCCACAAAATCAAGTTCGAGACGACACACGGTTGTCAAGATGGTGGGCAGCATCCGGATGCAATGCACGGGTCGCAAAGACATCGTTAATGGCTTATTTGATGTTTGTGCTGACCTTGGCGCAATGACGCACGTGCTTCTTGAGCCAGCAGGAACGAAACCTGAGCTACGAGTTGTTCCCATCTCGCTGGTTACTCACAAAACGGTCGAATTCACCCTGGCGCACTCTTAGACAGGCATGGCACGGGATACGATAAGGATTGGTGCCGACATGTTGAACGTTGGAGGCGAATCTGTGCGACATGCCGTGCTGGACATGAGAAAGAGCGCGTTCTGTGGTCGCTTGGAGGGGGGGGAACCGGACCCCCGTCCCCCCACAACTCCTCCTCTCTTCCTTTCCTTGGCTGGCGGCGGCGGCGGCGGGGACGACGATATCATTTCCTGGGCTGGCGCCGGCGCCTGCGGCGGCGGGCGGCGGCGGCGGGGAGCGTCGACGAGGACGACGGTGGTGGTCGTGGTGGTGGTGGTGGTGGTGGTGGTGGTGGGTTGTGGTGGTGGTGGTGGCGGTGGTGGTGGTGGCGGTGGTGGTGGTGGTGGTGGTGTGTGGTCTATTGTGGTGGTGGTTGTGGTTGTGGTTGTGGTTGTGGTGGTGGTGGGGGGGGGGGTGGGGGTGTGATGTCGTGTGGTGTGGTGGTGGTTTGTGGTGGTAGTGGTGGTAGTGGTGGTGGGGTGGTTTGAAGGTGGTGTGGTGGGGTTTGTGGTGGTGTGGTGGTGGTGGTGGCGTGGTTTTTTGGAGGTTGTGTGGTGGTGGTGGTGGCGGTGGTGGTGTGGTGTGGTGGTGGTGGTGGTGGTGGGTTGTGCTGCTGGTAGTGGTGGTGGTTGTTGCGGTGGTGGTGGTGGTGTGGTAAATTGTGGTGGTGGTGGTAGTGGTGGTGGGTTTTTGTGGTGGTGGTGGTGATGGTGAATTGTTGTGGTGGTGGTTGTGGTGGTGGTGGCTGTGGTGGTGGTGTGGTGGTGTGTGGTGGGTTGGTGGGTTGGTGGTGTGGGATGAGGCGGTGGTGGTGGTGGTGGTAGTGATGGTGGTGGTAGTGGTGGTTATCGTCGTTGCGTCCCCGCCGTCGCCGGCGCCAGCGCCGGCGCCGGCTCTGCTGGCCGCCGCCAGCGCCGGCGCGCCGGCGTCAGAGGGGTGGGGGGGTTGAACCCCCCCGCCTCCGCGCCTGTGGTGGGTGGGGGGTTTGAACCCCTGTCCCCCCCCTTGGGCTGCCTCTGGTTATCGTCGCTGCGTCCCCGCCGTCGGCGCTGCTGGAGGCCGCTGGCGCCAGCGCCGGGGGGGGGAGTTCAACCGCCCCAGTCTTGGGTGGGGGGGTGGGTTCGGGAGGAGGGGGGCTTGGGGGGAGGGGAGGAGTCCCCGTGTTTTGATCGACGGCGCCGAGTGTTGGGGGGGGGCCACTTCCCGGTTCGAAACGCGCCGCCGAATGATCCCAAGGCGAGCGCCCGTGAAACGCATTCTTTCCGACATGAACATCATTATCATCAAGCCTGGGGCTCCGATTCCAGCCCAATTGGAACAATCATTCATAACAATGATGTGTAAGGATATCCAATTATAGTATTACAGGCACACATCAAAACACTTACTATTGTTTAAATTGTTCGCTCGTCGTCTATACCACATGTTGTGCACTTTCGTGTGTCAGGAGCAGTCGTGCGATCATGTGGGGTACTTGATTGGGGTCTTTGAAACATCGAGCATCTATTATATTCTCCAGGCGTCCAAGGGGGAAACAAGCAAATTTCAACATCTAGTGTGGTATTGCGCACCAGATGCTTAGAGTGTTCGACACGGTTGAACATGATTCGTTTTTGGGGAACATTATGTGGGTAGTGCGCTCCGGGATTCTAGTTTCAATTTGGTTGTTTTTTCTACACAGACCAACGTGAAAAAGGTGTGGACGTGTGTGTTCAGCGGATAAGTCGATATACGACGTAAGTCCATGCAGGGCGAGCCGTTGTATTCTTTTGCGGTTCAACAAGTTTTTTTTTTTTTTTTTTTTTTTTTTTTTTACGATCCATGACAATCTGGGGATTTCAATATGTAGGAGTGCATGTTTTACCCCCCAGGCAGCAACAAGATGACTAACTTACGTTTCGCTTGTTTCGTGCTCGCTGTGGTGACCACATCTTATCAGATCAAACAGGTGCTGTTTGGCATCCAGAGATATACCGCCAACGAGGGTTTGTGTTTGCACCCGGGCAAAACAAATACATCCACGAGAGCACATCATAAGTTTTTTTTGTGGGGCATGCCGCCGCACTGGCACAAGTTAGTGGCGAGTCGGATCTTCCCGAAGACAACCGCTGTCAAATACCGGGCCCCGGCCTTGCGACCGGTGCCACCGACCCCTCAAAGGGGAACCCGACGCGTGTGGGAGGCAATCAATCGACGGGGAATGCTTCGCCCAGGGAGGAGTGCTCCCCCACTGGGGGGGTGGGTTTATAACCCTTGGGCCCCCCCCGAGACCCCACTGGTATCCCCTTGGGATCCCCCAGGGGACCCGCCCCCTCCAGCGGGGAAAGGATTAATTGGAAGGGTCTTCCTCCCGGCTTGATTTCAAAGTGGTTTGATATTTCTTTCGTTGGGATGTTTGACGAGGAGGCCCCGCGGACAGGGACGGGTGAGCGGTGACAGCGACATCGACAACCACGACGAGGACGACTCAAGCGGAAATGCGTTTCACACACGCCGACATGTTCGGCGGATTTGGGATGTTTGGTGTCTTGCGGCGCATCTTTCGTGTCCGAAACATCCAAAACGCATGGGCAGCGTAGGCAAGGGTTCGTCGGCCGATTTTGTTTTCCGAAAGACTGGTTCGACTGTTGGACAGCATGGTGGTGCCCGCGCTGTGATATGAAGCGAAGTCAGGCCTGTGACGCGCGACGCACAATATACGATCACCTGTGTGCTACGGAAAATGATCAGACAAATGCTTGCGACAACAATGCGCCGAGTACTGTCAACGGGGGCGCACGCAGTGTGGATTTTGATGGCGCCGACGTAAACAGTGACTGTGGGCCAATTCCAGAATGCTTCAGGTACTTAACGGACTTCACACATGGAGCATTGGGTGGATTGTATTCGACGGGCGACGCGGATCATAGAGGAGCAACCGCAGGCAGCACGTTGAAAAATGGGTAAGCGAGCAGAAGACATGCAACTGCAAATGGCCTTTCGGTGTGGTAATCATGGGCACCATCCATTGGGCTTCGGAAGCAATTGTTGGAATACGATGTTTGCTTTTAAGTCGGCGCGTCTTTGGGCCGACAAACCACATTTACGGGGGGCGACGACGATCGGGAGCACACCGACGCGCAGGGTCATCAGTTCTTGGCGACAGTGAGCCTGATCACATGATTGTGGATTTCGTGTGTGGAAGGGCTTGTGTTGCGGAAGAAGGTTTTGAACATCGTGTGGTGAGTTTTTTTTTTCTTGTTGCCTGCGTATGCTAGTGCAGGGGCAACCCGTTGTCTCCTCCGATGCGACGGACCGTGTGTCCCATACGCTTGCCCTCTTGGAGGACCGCCCGTATGGGCCTGAGCGGCGGCCTGTTTCTCTGTTTGCCCATATCATGAACCTCTTCTTTTCGTATCCTTCTTCCCTCTTCCCTCAGCTGTACATGAATGGTATCCCCTCTTCTCCAGCAGGTTCTCCTTTTGGCTCCTGACTCGTTTGTACCTCGTGGGGCCGTTGACTAGTCTGCATATATTCTCTGTGTTTCTGCTTCTTCCCCTGGACAATTACAAGCAGGACACGGGGAGGAGGCATCGAATTGCGGGGGGGGAGGACAATGGAGGACGAAAGGAGGAAGAGGAGGAGGAGGGGGAGGAGGAGGAGGAGGGGGAGGAGGAGGGGAAGGAGGAATGCGGCAAAGATCGCGGGGATGACCAACAGCAGCAGACTAAGGGTTAAGACATGACGGGTGTGGTTGGGGGGGAAGCTGTAGTCAGTGTTGGAGTTCTGATGAAGGCGAGGGGTTTTCGGATGTGTGCATGGTGATGGTGACGGTGGCGATGGCGAGTGATGATGCCACAGCTGTGAGCAAAGTGTCCATGCGGCGAGGGCAAGGAGCTTGTCTCCATGTCGTGGGCATCAGCTGTTTGATGGCGGGGGGACATGGTGGAAGGCCAGAGAGGGGCGGGGGGCGAGGCGGAGGGAGGGGAGGACGGAACGGCCGGAGGAAGAGGGGGGAAGGAAGGGCGGAGGAGGAGGAGGAGGAGGAGGAAGAGGAGGAGGAGGAGGAGGAGGAGGAGGAGGAGGAGGATGAGGAGGAGGAGGAGGAGGAGGGGGAAGGACGCAGGAGCATCAGCAGGAACGCTCGGACGAAGCTCGGGGTGTCCAGATGGCCGTTCCCGCCTGGCGCCTCCGGGCCTCTCGCGTGGGCGTCACAGGTGCCCAAATGGCAGCAGCTGGGGAAGGGGGGGCGGGAGGGTCGGGCCGGGCGAAAGGGGGGGATTGGGAAAGGGGGG